AAAGAGAGTGGTCACATCCAAACTGAGTGGTGGAGAGAGCTCCTGGCTCTGCTGGATCCCAGGAGTTCGTGGAATCAGAATATTTTGGGTTGGAAGGGACCTTTAAAGGCCATCTGGTCCATCCTCCCTGCAATTAGCAGGAACATCTACAACTACATCAGGTTGATCGAGGTCCTGTCAAACCTTACCTTGAATGTTTCCAGAGGTGGGGCATCCATCACCCCTCTGGAAAACCTGTGCCAGTGCCTCACCACCTTCATTGTAAAAAACTTCATCTTTACAGCTAATCTAAATTGACCCTCCATCAGTTTGAAGCTGTTCCCCTTGTCCCATCACTACAGGACCTTGTCCAAAGTCCCTCTCCAGCTCTCCTGGAGACCCCTTAGGCACTAGAAAGTGCTCTAAGATCTCCCTGGATCTTTCTCTTCTCCAGGCTGAACACCCCCAATTTTCTCAACCTGTCTTCATAGTAGAGGTGCTCCAGCCTCCATCTTCGTGGCCTCCTCTGGAACTGCTCCAACAAGTCCATGTCTTTCCTGTGTTGAGGGCCCAGAGGTGCACATTGTTTGGGACAACATAACCTGGCACAAGTCAAAGCGTGATCAGTCAAAAACAGATGATGATACTCCAGCAGGAAGGTCTATTCCTGGTCACTGCCTAATTTACTATTACTTTCACCTTATTTCTATGACTAAACCAGAGTGAACTTTCCAGAGCACAATTCCTTGTATCCCAAAGTGCAGTCAGGTGTGTTTAGGTGTCTTGTCTGGACACAAATTAACTGTGTCTGAAGAAAGACAAAATTAAATGGGAGTAATTAAAAATCATGTAAAAACCTATATATTCCAAACACACCTACACTGTAGTGCAATCTACTGTTTTTTGCACAGAGCTTATTGCCTTGCTGTGAGCTTTGCACAGATTTACCACCAAGTGAAGATATGTGAGCAACACTGGAAAAATCACGTCCACAATGAACTTCCTAGAATAAAAATATGTATCTGCATTTTTTAAGTATCTAATGTAATTCATAGGACAATACACAAATCATAGAATCATAGAATCACAGAATAGTTTGGGATGGAAAGGACCTTAAAAGATCATCTAGTTCCAACACCTCACAAAAGAACCACAAAGTAGGGATAACTTAGTTTTACTATTTTGCTGGCTTCCAGCTGGCTTTCAAGGTAGTCTATTCTTGTAGGGAAGTTATTTTCCCTCCACTGTTTATTCATACTTGCAATGTACTATAAAAGCATTATGGTAGCTACTGCAACTGAATTATTGCCATTTAACATATGAGTGTTGGAAATATATCCCTAAACTAGCAGTCAGAGTGACAGATGAATGGTGTTTCTCCTAATCCTATGGGAACAAAAGTGAAACAGAGCATTCACAGCGTGATGCTCTATGCATTCCTTTGTGTCAGTCCAGATTTCTGATGGCAAGACTTTTTCTTCCTGGGGGAGGTATTGGAGCTATAAAATAAACGATAAAAAAATGGGTCTTTACAGTATTACTGGGAATTCAGCTTTGCAATTATGTTAACCGAAGTTTTAAAGCAGCTACACTTGTGATTTTAGCGACCTGAAATGCAGAATCTGATAATGGTTCTAACAGAAAAAAAATAGGAGAACTAGAGTTACAATTCACAAAATAACAGCCAAACCTGCAATTGGTTTAATTATGGACAGGAAGTCAAGAGGTTCAGAGGAGCAACATAAGGACACTCAAAATTGTATCTCTATCCGAACTGCAAATAAGGAAAAGTTCAAAGATTTTAAATGAACATGTTCCTTCTTCCCACACCCATTCAGCCATATCCCAGAGGAATATAACTCTCCTCTCTAAATGATTTTTCAGAGACAGAGGAAAGCCACATTGCAATCCACTTGCAAGGTTTTGTTTATTGTGGATTCTGTTACACAGCAGGTAAAGGAAGGGAATTCCCGACCACCATCAGCTCTGGCTATTCCACAGCCCAACCTGTACAGAGGAAGAAGAATGTGGGTACATTGCCATTCATGTAGCTCAAGAGACTGTCACCCATTATAAAGACAATTTCTATGATCCATCTCTCCTTCATGTGCACAGTTCAATTACAGCTATGACTGAGAATTGTTTATTCCATCTAGAACTGTTCCTAACTCGGACGAGTGTTTCACTAGTGCTTTACTGCTACCTCAGGAGGGCAAAACAGTAACTGTTATGGGGTGAGACAGAGGTGCTATTCCAGTTTTTATTTTGTTTTGATTTTGCCAATACACTCGGTTGGTTTGCCACCATTTAATAATATTATTTTTATGTTAAGTAATCTAATTTTAATGTATTGATAAAATAATCACGTGTTATAACAAGTAACATGAATTTTGTTCTTAAATTCTGTCCTGTATTTTACAAGTAGTCCATGTTCCTTTGCACATTGTTGGTATTACTGTTTCAGAGATAGTCCCTTTGCTTCAATTTAAAATCACAGGATACACCAGTAAGTGCTATATACAATCCTAGAAGAGTGCCCTTTCTTACTAATCTGACAGCATTGGTGGGTGTGTTTTAGTCAAAGAAGTATAGAATTGTTTGTTCTCCTTTAGTAATGTTTTCAGCAAAGCTTTGCCTACTCCTCCATGGTACAAATATGGAATAGACCTCACAGCACTGCAAGCAATCACATGAAGGCTTAGCTCTAATTTTATGAAATGTTTTAAAAGAAATTAGCATAAACAATATTTGCATTTTGTATCATAACTGAAACCATACTGCTAAACAATCATATCCTGTTTAGCCCATAATGACATCAGAAATACATGTTTATCATCTGCTCTGGACAACTTAGCATGATTTTGGCCAAAGGCAAAGTGGAACTGAAATAATTTACAGTTGTCCAAACCAAGATAACCACACATTTCTGAGGTAATTGGTACCTAAAAGGAACACTGCCTTTAGATTGCAGTTCATGATTTAAGTACACTAATTCCTCAAAGAACACTGTTAAAGTGTCCACTGGACTTCCTTCAAAACTTAGCATGGATTAAACAATCTACTGCACAAAGCAAATGGGATTCAGGAGATTAGCCCATCCACTAACAACTCTTCCTTTAGGAATGGATCACATTTCCTACTATCTTTAATTCCTTTCCACCCACCTCAAAGTAACAACAAAATCCCAAATGAAACAAAGCCAAAAATACATTAAACATTTTGAGTAGCATGTTTCAAACAGTCTTTCATGTTTTGTCATTAGTTTTAGAGACTAATAAGAAAGAAAATACATAGTACTGTCTTCATAAATCTATTATAAAATAAGACTTTGATTTTTCTTTTGTTTTTTTCTTCTTTTTTTTAACACGGAAACATCGACACTTCACAATATGTAATAAAGTCAAGCAATAGTGAGAAGAATTACTTTTTATATATATATGTGTGTGTATATATATATATACACACACACTACAGTTAATGAATTACAGTCTAGTGATAACAAACAAAACATGTAGTCAGATGAAAGACAAATATCTAATTACAGACACACATTCCTTGACAGACAAACATAGAATCAGATTTGCCCTTGCCTAGAACAAGGAACTTCATACTTTTATCAAACTGTGTAGTTTTTTAGACCAGAAAACTATTATACCAGAATGATAGAAGAGAATCTAAAGCCAAGCACATAACCCATTCATTCAGAAGAATGCTGCCTACCTTTTGCCTTTATGTAAAACATAACATTTTGCTTAAATAAATAAGTAAGAAATTAAAGAAAAGAAACCATCGGTTTCCAGAACACAAACAGTGGTTGGGAACAACTGTTTGATGACACTAATTCTCAGCTGGGGGAAAATGGGACTCATTCCTTGCCAAATTTTTATAGAGAAGGGGTTCTTCACTAGGTTTTGATTTCTTCCCATCAGAGGGGAGAAAGAAGAGGAAACAAGATTGGGAATGTCGAAGTTCTGAAAAGAGGCCCCATTAAGAAGAAAAAATGTAGAATTACAACTTGAACAGGATAAGAACTTCATTATTTTCTAGAATTTTCCATGAAATCCTGAAAGAGAAATGAGGCCCTAGTAGTCAAAATTAAACACATAAATACTCCCAAACACATGAGCCACCTCAGCACAGAGAAGAAAATCAACCAATGCACCCACTGAAAGGGTATTAAAGGAACTCTACAAATAATGAATTTCCAACAGTCATGTATTCTATATTGCTGCCTAAAAATGGATGGAAATTGGCTTAAATGTTAATCTGGAACTGTGAGTGTGCTCCCAGCACAGTTTTGCCCTTGACATCTAGTTGCCCACAGAAGACACAAGGAGGAATTGAGTAATTAAACATGAACTGGGGTGATGGACAAAACTATCAAAAAGACAGGGTAGTCTTGTCCATTTACAGAAAATTTAGCCAAAACCACAGACTTTCGTGCTACCACAGCTATGCTGCTTCTTGATTCCACTGAGCTTTATGAGAGTGGCGTGGGGCTGCATTCTGTAATGTAGACAAAACTTTTCATAACTACATAGATCAGAAAATGGGACTTGAAAGAAGGTCAGAGAGTAGAGCTTATACTGAAGCATGTTTGCACAGAATATTTTAGTTTCAGCTGTGTTATATGAAAAGAGTCCTCAGATGCTATTGAAGAATTTTCTAATGAGAGGAATAATGCAAAAGAAAAAAATGACTGTGAAAAATGTGTGTGAAATGCTTATAAACAGAATCTGCTTTCTACAGAAAGGAAATACAAGTACATGGTAGACATAAAGATCCATAACTACCCTTTTGTAATCTTCCTTCTCAGCATGTGTGCTTAGATATCAGGAAACATTAGAAGGAATAGGAAAAATATGGAAATAGGATTCCTTTAGACCATCTGGGTAAAAGGAAAAAAACATGTACCAATGATTTAATATGCAGTGTGAAAAAAGCATCAGACCAGCATGATGTATGAAATATTTCACAGTTTTCTCTGCTGGAGAAGAGTACCAGTGAAAGAAAAGAATTACCTCCATTCGCTCTTGCTTGACATCATCAATCTCATCATCTTCAAAAATGGCTAAGAGCTCTCCAGTCTGGTCAATGGAGTTGAGAAAGTCTTGAGCAAGCTTCTGCCTTTTGTTGGTGTTATTACTGTTGAATTTGTCTTCACGAAGACAAGAAAAGAATAACAAACTTATTTGGCTTCTCCAAACATCAACTGATGTTTTAGAATCAGCACAATGCAAAAAAGGGCCTGTTCTTACTGTCCCCTCAAACGAGCTGTGCTACCTGACCAAGGTCACTACTCTGCAGTGATGGTAAAAAATTACCTTTAGTGTTTTCTGCTATAACCTAGCTTTTTCATGATCTAGAGAAACTTACTGCTCCTATATCATTACTTCTCACCAAAGAATGCACAGTGGATACAGATATAAAAGAAACTACCTCTCTTTGGTGGCACAAAAGAACCTCACTCATAGAGCAGAATATATGGAGGAAATGCTCTTCCCTCAACACATGCAGATCATCCTCATTACCTACAGCTTAAAGCAAACCCTAACACACACTAGGATGCAGTTCCAAAGGTGATGGACCCCTGCTCTGCAGTAAAACCTGGAGAACCCTGGCAGGGTGATCTCTGTGATCTCTGTTCTAAACAGAAGAGCAGCTACAACAGCTACAACAGTTAAATTCACAAAACAAAATTAATGGCTTCAATTACCAAAGCCCCACAGAAAATGCAACTTTAATTTCAGGATGAACTGTGTTTAGGAAGCATTTCATGAGCATCTAAACAATTTAGGAAAATTGTTTATTCATTTTAAGTAGTACCACAAGCTTAAGTATTAAAACCCAAAGCTGTCAGGTAAGAAGTGATACTGCCACGTTACTTGCACGAAATGATACCTTTTCATGTGTGGTGAAAATAAAATGCCACAGGCAAATTAAATCTCAAATGAGTTGATAAAAATTTATCCACAGTTTGATTAAGTCAAAGCAAGAAGTACAATGTTTACCTAACATCAGTGCGGATGCTCAGAGGAACCAAATACAAGGAATTCATTGTAAGGGAAAAAATAACAAAAGGCTCTGAGAAAGGAAATAAGTTAAATACAAAAAGTTGTGTATGGACATTGTTAGATGTTGTAACAGTATGGAAAGGTTTAGATTTGCTATGATAAGTTTTAACTTGACTTTTTATAAAGGAAATGTTAAATCTAATGTCAATATAAATCAACAAAACCTTATACCAGCAAATTATATGGCATAAATTAATATATTTTTAATTCAAAGACCTTTTCCTTTAAATGCATTGGTTATAAAATCAGTGACTTGCTCATGCAATGGGGAAACAGAAGTGTTTCCCATTCTTTAAGTTACAGATTCAAAGTATAAAATGTTAAACCACAGCAAAAAAAAAAGACCCAGGTCATATATTACTATTCAATGACTTCAGATTATGGGATGTTTTTTTAAATATGCCAAAACCTTTTGACAATAATTCAACAAATGTTCATTCAATTGCAGGTGGTAGATGCCGACTTTAGAAGTATTTCAAATGCAAAAGTAGAGATTTTCAAACAAATTCCTCTAAAGACACTAGTTGTGTGTCTCTAACTATTAAGCAAGTTAGCAATACTTTGCATTGAGCTGTTCAGCACATTTATAAAACATCAAGCCTGTCCCAAATTAAGTAATTTCTTTTTTCTACCTTCGAGGAGGTCATCTTCTTCTATTCCTTTGACAATTTTAGATTTGTAGTCTCGAAAAAACATGTATTTAAGTAGCCTTCTAAGCTTCTTCTGAGAGAAAAAATAAATTTACATTAATTAGTGTAATATATTTTTTATTTAAACTAACTGTAACGTGAAATACATTACACAGTAAATATAATTGTTAAAATGTTCATAATTTTTGATTCTGCAGAAAATCCATACATAGAAAGTACCTCAAGGTAAATAGCAATTAAACATTAAATATTGTTTATTTGAACTCCTTGGTATTTTACTGTGAGAGAGAAATAGGTTTGACTTTCAGAAAGGAGAAATTCAGCGATAAGGCTTCTTCAGGGCACTCCAAAATCTTTACTCAAGTTTGGAAATTCAAACTTAGAAATGTATATTTCCATGAACTCTGACATCCATATTAACTGCTCTTTTCAGTACAGCCTTATGGTTCATATCAGATACAGAAACTGCAATTGGTTTTCACGTGTTAGTCGTTTTTAGTTTTGAAATCATTTTGGTCATCAGGTTTCAACTATCAAATGAGGAAAGAAAAACAAAGAGGAGAGAAAAGGGTGAGGGAAAGTGAGGAACTAAGGAAAAAAAGGAGATATAGGAAGAATAAATAATGTAGATAAAAATAGCTGACAATAATGTTCTAAGAATTTTGAAATTTGAGGAAAGAAAACTGTTTTTTTTAATTGACCTGTTACTATTCAGAGAAAGCAAGACCATCCCTAAATTTGGAGATTTTAGAGGGATATAGTACAGAAAAAAATATTATTAAAGAAAGATAATTTACAGTCTAAATGACAAAACTCTAATGGTCACACTGTCAAATGTCACATCTACACCCTGCATATCCAAGGGGAAATTAGAATTATTGATTTTTAATAAAAGGAATATAAAGGATCAGGATCAATATTTTTACCTAATTAAGAAATTGTTTTGAGCTCTAAGGTGCACTACCCACCCTAGAGCTTTGTGAAAAAAAATCTATTGATAATTGAAGTTACAGGAAAAGACAAGACTTAATTAAAATATTATAGAATGACTGCACTGTGCACAATAAAATTCAACTCCAGAGCAGCTATATTTTTAAATAAAGCTATCCATGCTGATGGACTCCTTTTCCACAGGTTAAGCAAAAATGTGAAAACAAAATAAGCAGCTGATTATGTAAATAAAAACTTCTGTCTTGTTACTGTACCTTATCTTTGCGCATTAAGAACAGAAGATCTTCAGCAGAGATGACTCGAGCTCCTCTCATCTGAGAAACTTCAGCTGCTTGCTGCAACTAAAATAAATGAATAAATTAGGATAACTTTTTCAGTGTTCAAAACTTTATTCACTGGGGTTCGTTTTAAATAAATTCAGATAATATTTTGCGCGGTCCTGAATAGCAAAATACAGTCTGTGCACTAACACACAAGCTGGGACTCTCAAAGGTGTCACTCACTCGGTTCTTGTTCGCCAAGAAGTGAAAAACAATTTCATGAAAAGCCTGAAAGACTTTTGACAAATCTCAAGCAAAAGCTTTTTTGTTTATATTTAAAATGATTGCTTTTAAAAAGCACTGCAGCCCTTTTTTTTTTTTCTTTCCTTAGCGCAGAAAATGAACATATAATTCTCTCAGGCAATGTAAAAATGCCAAATTCTTGCCATAGCACTTTATCTGCAACTGTGGAAGGGTGGCTGATCCCTCTCCCAATTTTTTAGAATAACAAATATTAATTTTAAACAGCTTACCTAAGTATTTTTTGAAAGAAATTCTACCCTTACTTCACTTAGCATTAGTACAAACCAGACTCACATGAAGAACTTTTTTAGGCGTGCTCTTATTTCATCCGGGAGAAAGAAAATGAATTGATAGGAAAAAACAACTCTATTAATGATGGAATTAAAAAACCTTATTGAGTAGACCAGGTCCTTCAGCTGTGAAAGTGATAACGATGGGATTGAGCAAGGAATGCCATGAAAATTGGTAAGAGGTGGCCAAAGGAGTGGGAAGCAATGGACTGTCCTCAACTCCATTGCCTCTTAAGGCCCTAAACACTTCAAATTGTGCTGGAAAGAGCAAAAATCTCTTTCTAAGGGACTAATTCCATCAGCCTTCAGTAGGCACAGGAAATCAGGCTGTTTTGTACACCAGTGGATCATATCAAAACTAGCACAGGGCCAGAAACCTTGCAGCCTTGGTTGGAAATTTGTACAATGATATTTATCAAACTGCTGAGCTGAGGAGGTTCAACCCAAATGCACAAAAGAAGTTAATGGGATTTGCTCCCATTCCAAAAATGATCATGGAACTATACAATGGTTTGAGTTGGAAGGAGTCTTTAAAGTTCCTCTAGTTCAACTCCCCCTGTAATGAGCAGGGAAACCTTCAACTAGATCAGCCCTGTCCAGTCTCAACCTTGAATGTTTCCAGGTATGGGGCATCCACCACCTCTCTGGACAACCTGTTTAAGTGTAAATCGTGATGCTGTAGATATGGTGGGATGGAAAGGATGCTTCCCAGCAAGGAATATATTTTATCCTCAAAATTAAAAAACATTGTCCAAAAAGCAAGATTTAATCATAGGGTTTTTTTCCTTTCATCCTTGTTTACTCTGTAATGCAAAACTGATCATAAGCACAGTACAAAAGTTATCAAAAGGAGAGACACCTTTAAAAATTCATGATATTAAAATTCATACGCACCTGCAACATGATCAATAAACAGCAATTTAATTTATGTTCAAATATCTGTATATTATTCCTTAGAAATGCATTAATGCACCTGAAAATAATTTAAAGAAATCCTATCCTTCGTGCTCACACTAGCAATGGTTTCACTCAGTATCACTGGCTGAATAAGTATATTATTAATCTGGGCTCCCATGCTGCTATGACTTGAAATAGGCCTATTCAGAAGCTAAAAAGATCAACAAAAACAGTAGCTGTTTCTAATATCCAAAGAAGAAGGGGTGGGGGGGGGAAAGATTTTCATTTTGGCAAGTGTTCAGTGGGCAAAAGATTCAGTCCATAAATCATAATACTGGACTGCATTAATTTTTTTCCACACTAATCACACGCACACAAAACGTTAACTGTATCTCATACTCACAACACAAAACACACTGCATGAAGAGGTTCAGAGCTTCCCCTTGAAACTCCCTCTTGGCCCTTGCAGTCACCAAGACCAGAGAGATTTCAGGAATTCAGGAGTCACAGTAATACAATCTTACTTGAAAAATGTAAGAATGTGAAAAACGATAGTTCTATTTTTTTGGCATAAGCAAAACTGTTTCTTATTCTGATTAGTTTGAGGGCATGCAAGCTACTTATATTTCTAACATAAAATACAAAGAGCTGGATAAAAAAAAAAAATTACCAAGTACGAGCCAATATTCCTCTCTGGTGTAAATCTATTGCAGTTAATGGATTTATGCCAGGGCTGACTTTGGCCCCACTGAGCTTAAAAGTGTTAGAAAACCTGACCTTAGCATGGTGATAACACAACACAGCTTTTCCAAATATCACATGAAACAATGGCAGAAATATCGGATGTGAAAGTTTACTCTAGTTCCCTAAAATGTACAGGACCACAATGATGATCTCTTGGTCCCTTCCAACCCAAACCATTCTGTGACTCTCTAAGGTGTTAAATTTCTTACCATAAAATTCAGATATGTTAATTTTTGTAGCTGAAATACATTATTTTTCCAAATGATAAACACGTGACAATGACATTTATAGCAGAGATTGTGTGTGAGCTGCTCACAGGAGCCTCATGATGAAGGAAGGGAGAGTAAGGAGCAGAGGCCAAATTCACGTCCCATTTGCATCTAAGTAAATCCTGAATAACGCTGTTTACTTTAATGGAGTTATTCTGGGATAAACAAAGATCAAAATCTGGAATAATATTCTCAGTTTCTACTAAAACAATGAAAACTTTGTTCTCGTATTGCCCCAAATTTTGCATCTATTTTATTTTAAGGAATGGACACACAGCATTTAATTTCTTTGGCTTAAAGAAAGTAAAATATGAAAATAATTACTTCCTGTACAGTTATAAAATATGGATTATTTATCCAAACAGACCATAATGAGTACACATATTTACCTGGGAAACCAGGATATGCTCAGGTAAATATGTATCCAAGAAATTAAATAAAAATTACGTCCCACGCAGCCGAGGTTGGGGGGAAGATGTATTTATAGTTTAACACACATATAATTGACTCACTCAAACCACAACATGAGTGCTTTGCTATAATTAGCATTATAACAAACTGTCTTATTTGACTGTCCCAGAGTTGCCATTAATATGCAATAAGCCCTGATTCCTGAATTTCCGGAGTGGAAGGCCTCCTTGAGTCATTACCGCATTCCGGGATGAAGGGGGATTTCAGGAAGCCGTACCAAAGGAACGATCCATCCCGGAGCACCCAGGCATTTGTCATTCCAGAAAAGCTGCTCTCAGCTCTGTAGCCCTGAAGTCAGGAGGTGTCTCACCCTTCGCTGCAGTCTCTGTGAGCAGCACTGCCCGTGACTCCAGAAGAGGGGTGGGATATAAATGCTGCAATAACTTTTCCCAGATGAGGTTGCTATATGGCAACGGGGGAGACATGGCAAGAATTTCCCATCATGTGCCTTCTCCAAGCCTAAGGGATACTCAGTGCCAGTCACAGAATCCGGGGTAGCAGCAGTTCCAACATACTCACTTATCTTCCCCTAATTTTTTTAATTTTTAAACTATTAAGCCCACATTACAAAATATTTTGTTTGGGATGATATTGAAGAACAGCAAACAATCCAAATTACTCAGCTTTTTAAAGAAAAAAAGGCTAAATTTCTTAGCACCAGCAAACAATATTTGAGACCTCAGAGTATGAATATATGTTTTATTACAGCCGAATTATGAACCTCTAAAAGTGAAGTTTAAATAACGGAAGTGTTGAAATGATTTTAACTATAGGAGCGCAAATAGCTCTGTTAATAATTAGGAGTTTATGAAAAATAAGTGTATTTTACAATTTTTCACATTACAAAGAAAGTAGTATATACAGTAACTATATTTTAAAGTCTAAGAAGAAATGGCTGGGGAATAATATTTTAAAATGTAATCATGGGTTTAATGACTTTATGAAGTTAACTTTCTTGGCAGGATGAACTGAAGTATGTTAACAGTCACCTTACGGCTATTTTCTTTTTGCAACTTCTGCAAATTATAGATTTGTTGAAAGGAGTATTCATTCTCCTGTGACAGAAGCACAGTTACTTCAATGGGACTGTCTGCTGCTTTTTTTTTCCATAATTATTTTTTCTTCCACTACCTCCAAAGTCAACAATCACCGATACTTCTTCTACAAAACTGTCTTGATGGACAAACAGACAAAAAGTTGGAAAACAAACATACTGTGTTGTGACATAATCCTTCCAGTTAAACTGCAGGACAGAGTTGGAGTGGTAATGTTTGCATGCCTTGGAACTGCTGGGAGCCAAGAATAATGTTGCAGGAGCTATGATTTTGTTTTCATTATACAAGAAAATTAGATCATAGTTCACCTGGGTGAATTTTTTTTCTGAGGCAGGAAGGCTGTTTTGTTATTAAATATGCATTAAAATGTCCTATTTTTTCATCTTTTCCAGATAACTATGCTACTATATAATTACCAGAGAATATTCTGAATTTGGATATAGTCCTGTAAATACATTCCAAACAGAGCATCCTGATACTTTTTCATAGGCAACTAAATAAAAGAAGTAAATACAGGTTTACATTTCAATCTTTCAATGTAATATCTCATATGCTATTAATGCTAACACCTGAGCTTCTCATTCTAAGACACACACAGAGGAAAAACACAGAATTTGTTTCCATAAGTCAGCACAGGGATGTGCTTTATGCAATTAGCACATCTTGGGGAGGTAATTACATTAAGGAGCCTATCAGAGTACTCTAATAGGTAATGATTTAGGATCACTGCACAAGGGTTAAAGAGCATGACTGAACCATCACAAGCTGCCTAAACCAGAAAATGTCCATCTGCACATGAAAAGACAATTAATTTTCTTCTTACTAGGTATCTGGTTTCAAATCTAAGTATTTTTTACTGAAGAACATTTAATGTCACACCAGATGATTATGTGTGACCTCAAGAAGATGAAGCTCTATGTCCCATTTTAAGGCTTTAGAGAATCATGGAATCATTTATGTTGGACAGCACCTTTAAGATCATAAAGTCCAACCATTAATTCAGCACTGCCACATCCACCACTAAACCATGTCCCCAGGTGCCACATCCACAG